TGTGTCACCAAGCTACAAAAACTCATTTCGGGTGAACCTTTTGCACTAACAATCAGTTGTAAGGTATTGTAAGGGCCTAAGATTTACGGCCACACGGGAAAAGTAGTAGTATTAAAGAAATACTGCAATCCCGTTGAAGAAAGCCATTCAGAAACATTGACGCCCCATTGAATATTCTGGTTTGGCAAAATGCCAAGCAGATTTGCGTGATGCCAGAACTATGTGAAGGGACCGGGATCTTAATCGCACGACTGTATGGGTCTCGTCCAATCACGGCAGCAATCGCCGCGCGCGGCGAGGCGAAACATGGCAGCCGTGACCTCTCGTGGAGTCCTAACCTACACCCGGAACAACCCCACCATCATGCAACAATTAAAAATGAATATTGGGCGTTGTAGCAGTCAGGTGCGCAAGCGGCAGCCTGTTCAAGAGCGAGCGGCGCTATCCTCGTGTTTTTGAGCTGCGAAATTAGTACATTCTCTATCCTTGTAGGGAGGGCTACTCTATCCAAAGAAAGTGCGATAACGTCAGATGAACGCGGGCTTTGCCTTTAAGCCTTGGAATTAATCTAAGGTTATTGAGTACTGTGAGATTCTGTCAGCAGTCGTATTATGAGCAGGCTGATAAAGGAGTCATGTGGAGTGACAAGTCCGATATTTTAATTTTGTAGTATCGGAATTGAGTTTGATTTGTCTGTGTAGCATTAAGCTGCGTTCATACCTTGCGGCAGTGTCCACCAGCGTCCAGGAGAGTTGGCGTCTGCGCACCACACACAACATGCAGAGTATGTCCCATTGGGAAAATTTTGCTGGAATCGACCCACAAATTTTTCCCTGTGGTGTGACCTCCCTTCGCGACCATCCAAACACCAGTCGTTCATGAAAATTCTTCGTCTTGAGGTAGGGACTGAGGGCGCATGAAATGAGAAAAAACAACAAGCAGAGGACTTTTCCCAGGCCAGAAGCGATTCCACATATTACGGCGGCGGCCAAATACACCCCCTCCCCCTTCCCTCCGCTTGGGAATTATTAGCGTACGACGTGGGAGTGTTTCTGTTGGGTTATCCGCGAAAGAAAAGGTAACCGTCTTTAAGAAATGTAAAACGTGTCATTCCTCAGAGTTCGGGGTCAGTAATTTGGGGGGGGGATATCTGCTAACAG